AAAGGTTTCTTTTAAAATCGCGGTATATTTTGTCAGTCTCACGACGGTATTGAGACATCTATTTACCGCGATATTCGATATATCATTACATCCCTAGTACTTTGTGATGGATGCACATAATCTAGGGTTACCCATGGCCCGGTTCTACGGGGGTGCATAAGGGTGCATTGCACCCTCAGTTGAGTCATTATGCACCCTCATTTGAAAAATTCAAAGTGAAAAANCAAATCAATAGGCACACAATGACTCTAAATAATAATGATCACGCCACCAAACACACATTAAAACTAAAGTAACCAGCCTGTTTGGAAAATGTAAGAAGTAGAAAGTACAGGTGTTAAAAATGTAAGAAGTCAAAGTAAAAAGTCGTCAGAAAAATAAGTAGTGGAGTAACGTACTGATACCAGAAACATGTACTTAAGTACAGTATCAAAGTATTTGTACTACACTACTTCCCACCTCTGTATAATAATATTAAGTTGAACCTATATATATATATATATATACCTTCACTGTAGTGCAGCTTTAAGGTAATGAAGAAGATCCATGCTGTTTTGTGATTACCCTTCACTGTCCTAAGGGTCTCACACTGAAAAACTGTGTGTGTGTGTGTGTGTGTGTGTGTGTGTGTGTGTGTGTGTGTGTGTGTGTGTGTGTGTGTGTGTGTGTGTGTGTGTCGCGCATGGGGCAGGGTCGGGGGGTACCGACATACAAGTTACCGTGGCGATTAAGCTCCTCTTTCGATGGGCCTTCTCTTTGAAACAGAAGATCTGGGATTGTGTCAAACCACCACAAGGGTCTCGGCTCGATCAAAACCACCGATGACAGTTTGCTGTTCGGAGATGAGAATCTGCAAAGGACAACGACCTGTGGACCCCCGTTGTCCCATGGGAACTCTTGGAAGGCCCCTTCTCCTAAAACTGGTGCCTCCTCCATCACCCCCCCNCCCCCCCCCTCTCTCTCATTGAACCCTTTGATGTCCTGGGAAAGTAAAGCACCACATGGAGAAGGAACTTAATGTCCATGTTTGAAATATACTTTTGATTTGAACTCAGAGTGTGATAAGAAAGATTCAGACATACAGGCAGATAGAGGCAGACACTATCAAAGGTTTCACCGTCTGACCTGTAACATGGTTTTGATGGAAGACAAAGACGCCGTTTGTTCTTTAATCTGCTTTCTCATACCGAGTTACTGAGGTCCCTCGTGGGAATCAGCTTCAGAATGACTGTGATCTAACACACAACTCAATCACAGAGCTGCAAAAACAGGGGTAGTTCTGGGTAAAGGTTCCCATTTAGTCTGGACACACTGGAAATACAATGAGAGCATCTTCTTTATCCAATAATGCAGAGCACTTGTGAGACAAAACATTTAATTTGATAACGTGTCACAGCTTGCTGGACTAATGTTGGTTCTGAAATGACAACAGCTTGCAATTTCTCCCAAATTCATTTTTATTGAGAAAACAACTCCTAATGGTTACAGAAAACAACTATACCCTGAGATTCAATTTGTAAACTAACTGTTATGTAGTGAAAAGTTAGTATACAAAATCCTGATTTTGTTTTTGGTTAGAACCGATAGTGTAGTGGTCAGCCTTCAAAAAGGAGCTCTGTATTTCATTACCTGACACTTCCAGCCACATGAATAACTGAAAACATTTAATAAAATGACATTCAAATGTGATTTTTAAGCTTTAAAATTGTCCACCAATAAAAAAATGTTTTCAAAAAGTGCCATTGGTTGTATTCCCTTGCTCTATTGTGCATTTCATTGGATGAATCTCTTCCGCCCTCCAGTGGTTTTGAGTTGCTATTGCAGTTGTGCTGACCCATCACATGTGTTCTGGATGGTTCTGCAGACAGGTGATAAACTCTTTCACCTCTTTGCCCTCAAAGCAGATCAGGTACACTGCAGAAAACAATGGAAACCTGTAGAAGAAAAACACACATTAAGCCTAGGCATCATTTTATAGGACGTAAAGGCTATGCGACAGTTTTTAAAGAAGTCAAATGGACTCACTTGTCAACCATGTCCTTCTTCTTTAGGACCTTGTAGACCTCGGCAGATGTTTGCGGGCCCTGAAGTTTCTGCCCGTTCAGCATTTCTGCCTCCAGCTCAACAATAGACTGTAGAAAAAGACGTGAGTTTGAATGTTTTTTCCTTATAATATCATATATATAATAGCATATATCGTATGCTGTTGTTAGAATCATAATCAGAAACAGGTTTATTACCAGGTACACGTAAGAGGAATTTGACTTGATGTCAGGATGTATACATAAAAGTAAAACAAAACTGGAGAACACAGATAGAAAATTATTTTAAGAAAACTATAATAACATTAAAAAAGAATACAAAATATAGTAAAATATAGCAGAATTGACATAGAACTAGAATGGAGTAAAATATGTGCAGTAATAATTAAAAAAACAGATATTGTGTACATTGTGTGCATTAATGTAATGGAGTACACCAAGCTTTTGGGCTACATCCAGCATTTGAGTGTATACAAGTAGTTCAAGACAAGAGATCTCACCCATTATAACATACTTAAATACTATACATATTATACATTTAAAATAACTGATGCAACTTTAACTGATTGCACCTATTTTCAAGCATTCGTAGTGGGACTAACTGAATTAATAATAATAATAATCTTTATTTGTATAGCACCTTTCAAACAACAAGTGCAGTTCAAGGTGCTTCACATAGACATTTCACAGAAAATTGATATCACTCAGAATACAGATACCAGAAAAATACATAAAAACAGCATAGAGTAGACATATAAAAAATATCTTTAGATTAAAGGTACAATGATGAAATTGTGCATTAAAAGGAGGATAGTGCAAATTCAACACACAATCAGGTGACAGGTTAAAATGAAAGTGCAGCAGAGAGCAGGAGTTTGCTTCCTAAAATGCTAAATAGTACAAATGTGTTTTTTTTTAAAGACTTCCACCGAGCTAGCTTCCCTGATGTCTACAGGTATTTTGTTCCATAGCTTTGGGGCATAGTTAATGAAAGCTGCCTTAAATTGAACAAATTGATATTTTTCTGAAATGGTGAATACAGTTACCAGTCTATAATGGTGTCCAGTTTTCTGGAGTTCTTAAAGTAATGGGACTGACCTTGGACGTGCGGACAAAGGCCTCCGCCACTTTGCGGTTCCGTCCCCCGTAGCAGGTGGTGATGAGGTCGGCCACGCCGCAGCTTTCCAGGAAAGTGTCGGAGCTCACCGGGCCTTTGCAGAAGATCTCTGCGAAGGCCACCATCTCCATCAGACCCAGCCGGATCACCGCCGCCTTGGTATTGTCGCCGAAACCCAGCCCGTCGCAAAATCCAGCTCCTACTGCCACGATATTCTGCAACATTTTGGATTAACACGTTAAGAGAGGATAACAAATGTGGAGCCTCTTTTAATAATAAGGAATATCTACCTTACCTTCAGAGCTCCACACAGCTCCACTGTGTCACTCGCCTTCACCACAGTGATGCGGAAGTTGGAAGTCTGAAGCAGCTCTTTGAAGATGTGGCCGTTTGCTTCATTTCTTGCCCCTGCATTAAAAAGTGTATCAAAAGGAGGAACACAATGTCGCTTAAAGAACACTCATTATGCAAAATCCACTTTTTCATGTCTCTTCTACATCAACATGTGTCCCCTCCAGTGTTGGGCAAGTTACTTTTAAAAAGTAACTAGTAATCGTTATAGTTACTGCTCTCAAAAAAGTAACTTGTTACTTTATTAGTTACTAAATTATAAAAGTAACTAGTAACAAGTTACTTTACTTTAAAAAGTTTTTGTGTTGTTTTTTGCTGACTAGTTCTCTGAAGGCAGCAGACTTGACCGTTGCGATGGGCAGCATGTCCTCAACACGCATGACATTGCGTTGATGAAATAAAACCGCCATTGATTATCGCAATGATCAATGGATTAAGGTAATTCAATTGGGCAATATCAATTGATCACTAAAATTTACCCAACGGCATGACGCAATGTATACGACTACTTGACTTAGCTTTAGAGGGACGCCTTACATTTGAATGTCCGCTTTGTCGCTACAAGAGAGTGTCATGGTACTTTCCACTTTCATTGTCTCTCTCACTAGCTACCAATTGCGCCCCATTGTAAAGTCCATTCGTTTAGTCTCTTTCTCAACCGCTGCAGAACGGATACCCCCCTTTTTATGTGTGTGTGTCGAGGAGCGTTGTAACGATGAGGATGTGTTGTGTGTGTTGTGCCTGTTGGGCGAGGTGGTGGTCGTGTGTGGTGTGGCGGTGAGGTCGTACGTGGAGGTCGGCGTCGTGTCGTGGCGTAAGCGTGAGCGCTGAGGTGGTAAGGAGTGAGCGCGGCCGGCTAGCTGTTCCGGCGTGCGTGATAAGTGCGCGCGGTGTAGATTTGCAGCGCCTGCGGGAACAGGACCGGCGGCGCTGGGCCGGCACGCGTCCGCGACGGTCGTGGGGATGGGGCCGGTCCGTCCCCAGCGCCTCGAGGGGACAGACTTATAAGTAAAGCTGGCCCAATAACGACGAAGACAGGCCACACGTATTAGACACATTAGACAACCGGGATGCGGGGGGGTATTAGTGTAACAACCATTTTTATTATAAAACCGACGGGCTTACAAAAAAGACATCGGTGGGCCTTGTTAAGTGGGGAGTTATTATATTAAGTTAATGGCAGTTGCGCGAATGCACTTGGGAGTTAGTTTGTGATATTTCCTGGCCCGTCCTGAGGGGCGAGGAAGAAGGGCGGGGAGAGTCACTTACGTTGTCTCCGTGTTCTGTTGGGTCTGGGTAGTCTGCGCAAACGTACCTTGTATGTTTCCACACGGAACAGCAGTAGAGTCGGGGCGGCCGAAGGGGACAGACACGACGCATTTTATCCGTAATCAGCAGGCCAGCACGGCTCGCCGGGCCCGGGGAGGGGGCGCTCTCTCTCGTGGAGGGTGCCGCGGTCGCGTCCTGGCAGCGAACAAGCGTGAGGACAATCGATCGCCGGTGATTGGCCTGTATGCGCTCGACAACAAGGTGTTGTTGCGACCTCCTTCTCGGAGAGGGAGGGAGGGGGTCTGAGCTCTCCGAGTCCACTGCGATTTCCTAGGGAGACTCACAGAATGGGCGTGACCGAAGGTTGTGATAGGATGTCAAGTAGAGGCACCCGAGAGTTGCCAAACCATTTGTTTAATAAGTGTGGGTTTGAATAGGAGCGCCGGTGAAGTAGGTACTAGGGTACAATCAATTGTTGGTTTTTATTCTCTTATTCCTTGTTGTGGGCAATACGTATGATTTGGACGGTTCATTTTGTTCTTATTGTCAAACTTGTCCCCGTCAGCTGGACAGCGAGGTTGGGGTATCGGATTGCGTGGCGGTTGTAGAGCGGATGTCAAGCGAGGCAAAGGAGACCCACGAGGACTCGCTAGCATGAGGTAGGGCTGAGGAGATTTTACGAACGAGGAGAGTTCCGGGCGAGGCAGTTGTCTGTGTGGCCGCTACGGCATCCGCCCGCGCGTCCCTCCGCGCAGGAGCGCGCGCCGTCCGGCCGGCCGCGGCGGAGCGACACTCTCCGCGTCCAGGCAGGCGAGGTGGATTGTGTTGCGAAGGAGTGGGGGGCGGGCGGATGCGCGGAGCGCTGAATGACGCTGCGAAGAACATTGTGCGGGGGCAAGCGCCCAAATTCAACACAAAACGCAACCCTCAAAAAACACGCACGAGGATATCACGGCATTATCCAAGTACTCAGGTCGTGTAGGTTCGTGGGTGAGTTTATGGAAGGGGCGGAGACGTAACAGGTGTAGCTTATGTCGTTACGGTTAGAGTGACTTTCGAGGGGGAGTGATCTACAGTGGGTGTCCATGGCGCGAGATTTGATCCCGTGTGGGGTGCTGGCGGGGCCGGCGAGGTGTTGTGGTTTTTTTGCCGTCACTGGGGTCTACCTCCGTGTGGGTAGATTTGGGTGGCGGTTTTTGGCCTAGAAATTTTACGGTACAGTGGGTGGCGCGGTCAGGGCTTGGGCTTCTGGCGCTCTTCAGAGGGCTAAGCNCAACGAGGTCAAAAACAAGACTAGACAATAGCTACTTCATATACACACACTCGCCACCAACTGGACAAGGGTGTGAATGACTACATTATAGTTACAGACTACAGTAGTACAGTAGATCGCCCTCAGTCTACCTGGCCACTAAGGATGTAATATAATGTGGGCCGCTGGTGGACATTTTGGCGCTGTTCCGAGTTGTGTTCTAATCTGTCAAAATAATGGACTGCTTTCAGATTTTTCCGTCATTGTTAGAAAAAATCCGTCATTGACGGAAAATATTCGGTTAACGCGACCTCTGCAGTAGAGACACAAATATACTAATATGAATCTAAAAATGAGCAGAATAGGTCCTCTTTAAACAGATTTGCCAATATGAAACTCTGGTGATGAGTGAGGTACAAATCGTGTGGTTAAAATATAAGAGAAATTACATTCAAAAGTCATGAAAGCAATGCCTTCCAGGTACTTCAGCATGAGATAACCAGATATATGTGTATGTTTTGAAAAGACTAAAAAACTAGCTGGTCCTTTTGGTTTTTGTCAACAAAGATCTTTTTATTTGTATAGTACATTGTTTATGATTTTCTATGCTGAATGACATATTCCAACATAAAATATATTACATCATTAGTATACGGAAGATCTAAAGTAGTGCCAGTAATAGCATGGTATTGTTGCTATCAGTACTTTTGCTGCAAAATGGTGAGGCTTGAGAAGAATGTGCAGTGTTGAGCAGAAATCAGTGAAAGCAGTGTTTCTCAACCCTTGACCCTCACTATCATCTGCCTCTCACAGGGAAGTACATGCTCTGCACAGACCAACACTTTCTGCTCAGAAAATGAAGGTGTAGTTCACGAAATTCAGGGAATCTGACATTTTTTAGTCATTGAATGTATCAGTGATGGCATATGTACATTTCCCCAAGTACTGTAGTATTATTTTTGACATATTTGTCCTTTATTTGAGTTTTTCCATTTCATACTTCTACTTACATACTCAGAGGAACATATTGTGCTTGTTTCTCCCCTTTAATTATCTAACACCCATAGTCATAGTTAGTAGTTACCTTTTAATAGTGGCGAACCGTCAGGGCCTTCAAGGTATTCAGAGAATACCCTGGAGCACTCAGCGGCGGGTGTGTGTGTCTACAGAAGGTCCAGTTGTGATAGACACGGTTCGCCACTGCCTTTTAATATAAAATATAAAATACATGATATAATTATCTCATATGATGGAATTTGGTACTACCAATAAACCCTGCATTTTCTGTCAAAAACTTGCTCCACAAACTAAACATTAAATATACTCTTAAATGTGATTTAAAAAACAAGGTAATATAACCATCTATAACAGGGCTTCTCAAACTCCGGACCAAGGTCCGGATCCGGACCGAACTGCAAATCAATCCGGACCGAACCCTGGGTTCGGTCCGGATTGATTTGCAGTTCGGTCCGGATCCGGACCTTGGTCCGGAGTTTGAGAAGCCCTGTTATAGATGGTTATATTACCTTGTTTTTTANTAGTGCCCGTAATAGTGTTCACTGGAGTCCAGCACCTCAGCACCCCCACTCAAAATACCTTCCCGCGCCTCTGCATTGTCCACATCGAATAACAGCAATGCCAATCTCCTGAAGCACCTAACTAATGTACATAGGGCTATAAAACTAGTCGCCAAAGACCC